TTCAGCAAGGAGGGGAGCATATTTTTTCCAGCAAATATCAGAACAATTTTGGGGAAATATATTATCAAAGTTATAAATCTGCAATGGGTTCATACAAGTTCTGATGTTTACCACTGATGAGCAAAATCTGAACCTGTGCCTAGAGGAAAATCTTTCTAATACTATAGATCTAGATGTCTCATATCTCTTTCCTCACTTGTTTAGACGTCTGCTTCTTGAGGCCTATAGTTGAGATACATCATAAACCAAGTCTAAAAGGTCTAAAATTTGCAACTATTGGCTGCTCTCACTACTACTTTAAGCCCAGCAGGAAGCCAGGGGGCCTCAAAGAGAGGTTCTCAGGGATTTTTCTGAAGTGATGGTCTTTAGAGTCTTTAATGATACAACAAAGTCTTTATTATGGAACAAACAACAAATCTTCAAAGGTTCAAACAACACTTTAAGGCTTTCTTTGTCTAGTCTTCAATGGACTGGCACCTGATCAACTGAACCTTCTCTGTAGGAAAAACCCTTTTTAACTTCTCCCAGGGTACTTTCTATCTATGCCTCATCAGTGTGGGTGCTGCTACCGAATCCAAGTGCGTCTGGGTATCGAGTAGACCTACCGGCTGAGATGTTTCAGCTGGAATTTCTGGACTTCAATTTCCCTGGATGGTCTTTTTCCCTGGATGCTCCTTTTTCCCTGGATGCTCTTAAGAAAGGAAGCTTTTCTACGGGACGAGCTGGTCTACGTCCTATAGCTTAGCTATCTTGTGTGAGACTGCCCAAAATGGCTCCTTTCCCTCCCAGAAGCCTGAACAAGGGGCGGAACCAAAGCTTAATTAAGATGGACAGGAGGCCTGCCCTATAACTGCAAAACAGATAAAATAAAGTTGGAGCTCCTGGTACAGCCGTACCAGCACACTTTTATTGCTTTTTTTTGTAGCCCATTTGGTGTTAGGCTGTGGGGGGAAATATTGTCCTCTGGCTTCCAAAATGTCCGCTCCTCAGTGTTGAGTAATGTTGGGTAGATAGTTACCTCAGAAAAGATTGTTGCAAGGAATCTCTTTTGAATCATATTGATTGTGAGAAAAATTGTGGACAGGTGAAGGTGAGTGTGTAGAAGGGGAAATCTTACATTGTCAGCCAAAGTCCATTGGATGTGGAACTTGTGATAGAAGATGTATAGATGAAGAAACCTTTGAGTTTGTGAACCTTGTACCTCCCAGCATTTCACAGATGAAAACTGTGACAGATGTAGCAAAGGAAGTTCATAATGTGATCAAGATGGGAAATGTTGATGAAGAACACAAAAACTGGAAGAAGTTGCAGCAGTTTGTTTTTGTCTGAGCCTTCCTCTCTTCTCCGCCTGCTCAGTTAATGGAGTACAAGTTGGACTGTTCTTGCCGAATCAGGACTGTTGGATAGTACAGACAATCCCTGAGTTACAAACATCTGACTTACATCCAACTCCTAGTTACAAAAAGGGGTGGGACAGCAGGAAGTGCACATTTCTGTTTTTGTTTTTAATGTTGATACGGTCAATGGACCAATCAATAAACTTTGCTTGCTTAAAAACCTCCATAAAAATGGCTGGGGCTACTCTTAAAAATGTACCTGTTCAAACTTACATAAAATTCAACTTAGGAACAGACCTACAGAACCTATCTTGTTTGTAACCTGAGGACTGCTTGTATGGGACCTGCTTTTACAAATGATAATCTAGCCCAGCGTTGTCTGCTTTGGTTGGAAGCAGTTCTTCAGGGATGCCCTTTTCTGCTGACTTTTCTTTAAGAAGGGAAACCAGGACATCAAGTTGGTACCAAATACCAAATCATTTGGCTCTACTGCTGAGCTGCCTCAATCTCACCCCACTTGAAGGTACAGTGAATATTGTTCAGTCATGTAATCGTTCTAACTATTCAAACAGACATGGGATGATGTTGCACGATTGGTATGTCACAACAAGATTTAGTTATTAGGTATGCATATACAGTATATAGAAACCAGTTTTGTGCTGTAGAGAAATTAATAATTTAGGTAGGTAAATCTGCATTGAGCTGTGAATATGGACATGATTTATTCCTAAAAGAAGGGCTTTTCTAGTCTTTTGCATCAAACATAACTGAGGATCTTGTGATGCTGTAAAGACAAACAGGCTTATTCTGTCAGAAGGGTTTGTAGATGAGAGATCCTTGAACACAAGTGTTCAAAGGAAACTACTAACACTGTGCCTGAGAGCTGACTCAAGTTCTTACTGTGATCTCAAGACCAGAGAATCAATATTTACATCTCTCTTTTCTCGGCCATGAGCTGTTTTGTGGAGTAGTGGACAGCAAGTATGCATTGGAGTGGATGAAGAGACATCTAAACCATCATCTGACTCTAGTCAGGCTTGTCTGGATCATGATCTTTGACTGCTAGATCACCTACTAGTTCATAATCTCTTGACCCTAATGCACATTCTGTTGTAAATAATGACCATCTGGTGTCTGACTCAAGGCAGAAAGCAATCCTGTGGCAGGAAGCACATATAAATACCATATGTATTTACATGGTATCTACATTTAATTAATTATTTCAATAGCTTCTCCTGTGATGGGATTGTAATGGTGAAGAACATTGACTCAGTGGAATATATCACTGGGTCCAGTGCAACAATTTTCCTCTGAATATTCTTTAGAAAGGTTGGGGTAGGACTGTAGCGGGCTCAGCCTCCTGCAGACAGCTTATTTATGAATTCCAAATCTTAGTTTATCCCATAGAAGACCCTCATGGTGGGTAGAAGGAACATACACATATATTTATTTAGTTTTTAACTATACCTAAAGTGCTGGTTGTATTTTAATCTGTAATGTGTTTTATTATGGTTTAATTGTCTTATTGTGTTTAATTGTTATTATTGACTATATCTATTTCCTTTTTTCCTAATGTACCTGTATGTTTTATACCTTGTTATTAGCTGCTTTGAACCCTCGATGGGGAAAAAAGTGGGATATAAATTAAATAATAACTATTATTATTATTATTATTATTATTATTATTATTATTATCATAATCATCATCTAGATTTCTTGATGGAGAATCTACAATTCTATAAAAGGGAAGGACATGGCAAGCTTCATGTTTTGACAAAAATTAAGGGACAAGAGTATGATATTTAATGTTGGGTGAAAACATTCCATCCATCTGCTACCCAACTTGCAGCAGATTTAGAGAAACAGGACTATAAATCTGTATCCACGTGATTCTGGAAATTATTGTCCACAAGTAATATCTCTAAGGTAGCAGATGAGATTTTTTTTCTTGCACTTAGCAAATGACTTTTAGATGTATGATTCTCTGGGTTGTTGTATGTTTTTCTGGGCTATATGGCCATGTTCTAGAGGCATTTTCTCCTGACGTTTCGCCTGCATCTATGGCAAGCATTCTCAGAGGTACCGCACTACCTCTGAGGATGCTTGCCATAGATGCAGGCGAAACGTCAGGAGAAAATGCCTCTAGAACATGGCCATATAGCCCGGAAAAACATACAACAACCCAGTGATTCCGGCCATGAAAGCCTTCGACAATACATTGTATGATTCTTTATTTTTATTTTCAATTTTTAAAAATTTGTTTTAATATTGAACCAGGACCTGGCTTTTACTGAGGAAGACATGTCAAAGCAAGAAATTACCTAGAATTCCTATTATTGCCTACTATCCCGTTCTTTCTTATGTTTCTGTGGTTTATGTTCTTCTTATTCATGCTTTGCATATTTTCTGCTGCCAACCATCTACTTTTCACTCATGTTTTGCATTTACTCCTTTTTTTCACATTGTGATCTACTCCATTTAACATTTGTTTTGTTATACTTTTGTTCATTGCTTATCTTGTATTACAGTTCTCAACCTGGGGGTTGGGACCCCTGGAGGGGTCATAAGGGGGTGTCAGAGGGGTCACCAAAGACACAGTATTTTCTGATAGCCATGGGGGTTCTGTGTGGGAAGTTTTGCCCAATTCTAATCTTTGTGTGTTTCAGAATGCTCTTTGATTGTAGGTGAACTATAAATCCCAGTAACTACAACTCCCAATGTCAAGGTCTATTTTCCCCAAACTCCAGCAAAGTTCACATTTGGGCATATTGATTGTCATGCCAAATTTGGTCCAGATCCATTACTGTTTGAGTCCACAGTGTTCTCAGGATGTAGGTGAACTACAACTCCAAAACTCAAAGTCAATGCCCATCAAACCCTTACAGTATTTTCTGTTGGTCATGGGAATTCTATGTGCCAGAATTCCCATGACCAACTCCACCAATGATGGTTCAATTCCATCATTGGTGGAGTTCGGAATGCTCTTTGATTGTAGGTGAACTATAAATACCAGCAACTACAACTCCCAAGTGACAAAATCAATTCCCCACCCAATGCCACCAGTATTCAAATTTGGATGTATTGGGTATTTTTTGCCAAATTTGGTCCAGTGAATGAAAATACGTCCTGCATATCAGATATTTACCTTATGCTTCATAACAGTAGCAAAATTACAGTTGTGAAGTTGTCATGAAAATAATTTGCTGGTTGGGGGTCACCACAACATGAGGAACTGTGTTAAGGGGTCGCAGCATTAAAAAGGTTGAGAACCACTGTTGTATTAGTTAATATTTGAGTAAATCAATACTTGGAATTTAACTTTTGTGGGATCAAAAGTGAAAAGAAATTGAGAAAATATATAATATATGGCCATGGGACAGTTTGGTTTGATAATATTACAATCTCATAGTTTCCTGCCTTGTTCAGCTTCAGCCACAAATATATAAATGTTTATAAAGTGTATTTTGTTTTTAAAATTGTTCCCCAAATACCAAGCACTCATGAAAACAGGAAAAACATTTGTTTCTTGATGTGTACATTTCTTTTTCATTGGAAGTATATCTTTTTAGTTTGAACAAAATGCTGCTGCGTTGTAAAAGAGCTTAATAGGGCAAAAATGTTTCTCCCACACTTAAGCTAGGACTTCTCTCCAGAAACACTTACATGCCGCCTATATAAATATTGGGCCACACTTCGTCTATCTCATTGGATTCCATCCTGCAGCTGTCCATCGCATGTTCCAGTTCTTTTAGGGAGGGCGCAGCAGGCTTGAGGGCGTTCATTGGCAAAAGGTGGTGATCGTCTTCAGAAATGGATCACTTGAACTGTCATGTGATCATCTGCTGACACTCTCTCATTGCAGTGCCTGGCTGAGCTCCAGTTACGTTTTGACATTTGACAGTGAAAAGCAGCTGTGAATTTTGAAATGCATCACTTCTCCTTCTTTCAGGCACACATGACTAATGAATGGGGGGGGGGGGGCAATGACAGTACTTTACTGACACAGCAGCAAGCCATGCAAAAAAAAAGTGAAATAGGCACATTTCTCCTCTTTTAATCATTTCATAGTATTCAGTGCATACATTGGTCTTTTTGGGGTGGGAAGCCAACCTAGTCCAACAGATAGATATGAACAGATGTTTGTTTCCAGTGCCAATATTGAATATTAGAGCCTGAAAAGGATCAGACTTTACATCAAATGAAACCTATCTATATAAATTAAAATGTAATGTTTATTTGTGGGATTAACAAGTCAAAAACCACTGGACGAATTGCCGCCAAATTTGGACACGAGACACCTAACAACCCAATGTATGCCCTTTACTCAAAAATTGATTTGGTCATTTGAGAGTTGTAGTTGCTGGGATTTATAGTTCACCTACAATCAAAGAGCATTCTGAACCCCACCAATGATGGAATTGAACCAAACTTGGCACACAGTTCTCCCATGGCCAACAGAAAATACTGGAAAGGTTTGGTGGGCAGTGTCCTTTGGTTTTGGAGTTGTAGTTCACCTACATCCAAAGATGACTGTGGACTGAAACAATGATGGATCTGGACCAAACTCTACAAGAATACTCAATATGGCCAAATGTGAACACTGGTGGACTTTGGGGGAAATAGAATCTTGACATTTGGGAGTTGTAGTTGCTGGGATTTATAGTTCATCTACAGTCAAAGAGCATTCTGAACCCCACCAACAATAGAATTGGGCCAAACCTCCCACACAGAACCCCCATGTGGGTCACAGCAGGGGACGACTAGTCTATATAAATAAAAATGTAATGTTCGTTTGTGGGATTAACATAGCTCAAAAACCGCTGGAGGAATTGACACCAAATTTGGACACAATACACCTATCAGGCCAACGAGTGACCATCACTCATAAAAACACTGAAAAACATAGCAGAAGAGACTTAAAAAGCACCCCCCCAAAAAAAAAACACATTACAACGCATGCACAAAATTACATATATGCACATATACACAAATATATACACATACATATATGCATATACACACATAAAACATATGTACACAGACTGGGACACAGCAACACATGGCAGGAGATGGCTAGTATGTAATAAAATCCATGATCTAGGCATCTCATTTTTTTTAAAAAACACACAAGTTATTAGTCAATAAAACTAATTTGCAGACTGATGAAGGTTTGGTGAAGCAAAAGGGAATGTATTAGCCTTTCATGCTTGAGCCATGGCTCCAGCTGAAATTCCTCTCTACCACTCCCCCTCTCCAGTTAGTATTAACTCCACAGAAGAATATATTCACACATCATAGTCCAATGGGCCACCTACTGTTGTTTGTGTTCACACTATGCTCTGTTCAGGCATCTAACGGAAGAAGGATATGTGTAGGATTGGTTCGAATGACAGGCAAGTGATTTCATATTTTAAGTTTGATTAGAAGTGATATAAATATCAGACAGGTGGCCTTCATCCTTGCCCACCCAGTAGAGCAGTATCTCCTGAATGTTCAGAGCCCGGTTTCAGCTCTAATGTCTGGCTTCAGCTGAAAAGATAGAAACATCTTCATTCCAGCTCTGGATCAGTTTATGGCTGCTTTGGTCAGTTCTGTGTAATGGAAATACATGCTTTGGCAGTTAACTGGAATACAGAGAATAGTCATCTGGATGTGGTTTATAATTCCTCAGGACCTTATTGCACAGAGATGCAAATAGGAGAACTGTCACCTTGAGTGGCAGTTCGTATGGCACAATGTTGTGCTATACCCATTGCTAGTCTGCCACCTCCTCACAATAAAGCTTTCAGGCGTTATTGATAGGCAAAGTTTGTCAATAATAATAATAATAATAATAATAATAATAATAATTTTATTTATCACCTACCTATTCTTTAGACTTGAAGCAGGGCACAACATAGTTAAAACACGTGACAATGCTAAAATACATTCCATAAAAGCACACATTAAAACGTATTTCTACGCCTATTAAAATACATGGAATAAAAATTAAAACACAACGAACACAGAATGTCAATTTAAAATGTATAGTTCAAAAGTGTCTGGGTAGGCCTGCGACAAGAAAAAAGTTTCCAATTGTGTTTTAAATTCCAACAGATGATTTAGCTGTCAGAACTCTTCCAGCAGGTCACCTTATGCAGTGAGTCCAGGTACTTATGGTGGCATCCACCACGCTCCCTTGCTGTATTTTTTTCCAATCCAGTCAGCACTTCACTGCCTGTGTTATTCAAGGGCAAATTGCATAATATTAGAAACAGTAATGGTCAGTTGAATATGAAGCACCAGTGTCCTCTCCCCTGTCTTTTGGGAACAAGTTATTTCCTATAACTCAATAGAATAGGAGGAAAAGAAAGAAAATGGCATAGGGTTGGTGTACTATAGGTGATAGCACACCCCCTTTATCACCCCTTAATACCTGTTAAGCTGCTTGCCAAAGGCAGGGGGAGAATTGCCATCAGGGCCCATGGAGGGTATTTTACTCAGAGTTGCTGCTGAGATATGCTTTCACTTCCTACACATGAAATAGTTTCATTGATATTACCCAAACACCTCATGAATTCATTTTGTTCCACAAGAAACAGAGCCTCAGGAATGCAAAGTTTTCAAGGATAAAAACAAAGTGCTGTGGGGTTTCAACAAGGGCCGGGTAATTGCATGTATGTTTCCTCCACTCACTAGATCAAATAAAGTTGCTTCTAGAAAACCATGGAATTATGAAGGGCTTGACTGCCCAATCAATGCCCAGTCAGTTAATCCAGAAAGATATTTTTCCTGGACTTTGGTGGCAAATTAGGACCAGGACTTAAATGTCCCTATCAATTAATTGGATCAACAGGTACAGAGACCACCTGGGCCTACTCATTTTACCATGTCTTTTGTATACAGTAGGAAGTCATTTTTCCCAGGACAGCTCTTGATGTATGCAACTAGCTAGCTTTAATTCACTGGAGTAGCAAGTGAGTGCTCTGAGTTTTCTTTTCAGTCTAAAAGGAGACACAACCATATTTCCCTTTTGTTTTGTCCCATCCTGAGTCCACACTTAGAACCATGAACTCATTTGCAAACCACTGACACTCATCTGAAACTTTTAATATGGTTTGAGAAACAATGGAGGACACCATGGGGCAGCGCCCAGATTCATCCCAATAGTTAATTGTGGGCAGCCATCCCAACTTGTTTCCTAGCTGTTCCCGGCTTCCACCCATTCTGACCCTGGCTTCTTCAATGAGGATATGGGTCAACCATATCCTCAGGGCTTTCTCTTAGCAAGCTGACGGGATGGAGCCAAGATGGAGCCCAATGCAGACATGCCGGAAGTAGCCTTGTGTCATGGGCTCTGGTGGACTCCGTCCCAGCAGCATGCTAGGATAGGGAAAAACCTGTGTGATGACATTGTAAAATCAGTCTGCTTCAGTTTCTTCAGTTCTGCCCACAACCCAATAAGAAGATGCTGGTTGTCAAGTTTTTCCGTCTTTTCTCACGTTGAACTGTGGTGTTGGAAGAAAGTTCTGAGAGTGCCTTGCACCGCCAGAAGATCCAACCAGTCCATACTTCAGGAAATAAAGCCCGGCTGCTCATTGGAGGGAAGGATATTAGAGGCAAAGATGAAGTACTTTGGCCACATCATGAGAAGACAGGAAAGCTTAGAGAAGACAATAATGCTGGGGAAAATAGAAGGAAAAAGGAAGAGGGGCCAACCAAGGGCAAAATGGATGGATGGCATCCTTGAAGTGACTGGATTGACCTTGAAGGAGCTGGGGGTGGTGACGGGCGACAATGAGCTGTGGCGTGAGATGCTCCATGGGGTCGGAAACGACTGAATGAATGAACAACAAGGGGTAATTTTAATTAGTAGTCTTCCTTAGTTCTGCCCTGAGTGTCCTTCACCCTCTTTGTATTTAAGTCTCCATCTACACTGCCATATAATGCAGGTAGAAACTGGATTACATGGTCAGGTTCATATAATGCAGTCTAAGGTTCCCATTTTAAGACCTGATTGAAATTCGGTTTTGAACAACATTGGTGGTGCCTTTATTTGGATGTGTTATTGTCATTGCAACAAACTCTTGCACCAGACCTATCTATGTATCTATCATCCATTGTCTGTCCCGGAACAATATGATAGCCAATGGCAAGCTTTCTTAACCTTTTAATCCTGAATGTACCCTTCAAATAATGTTCAGGTCTTAGGGAACATTATTATATTTTCAGCTTTTAAAAAAAGAAATGCTTACTTTCAATCATCCCTTGTGGAACCCCTAGTGACCTCTCACAGAACCCTAGAGTTGCAGGGAACCCTGGCTGAGAAACTCTCGTGAAGAGTGTTATGCTTTCTCATGGTGCATAACTTCCAAGGTCCCTGTCCTCCCATTTCCACTGTGCCTCCTTTGATTATTTATTTAGCAAATGATAAATTTCACAGTCCCAACTATCTTATTTCAAGTACGATACTTGTTTTGGTGCTGGCAGTCCTTATCTTTTCATGTGTATATGCATTATAGATCAAATCTGCAAACAAACAAAAATAAAGGATTTTGAACCAATAGTTATATGAATCTTTTCCTCCTGTGTCAGAAAAATCAATTTCCTACTTTGCAGAAGCCCAACACATACATCTCCTCTGTATGTCCCACGCTTTTGTCAAAATTAGTCAGTCCTTTGTGCATTGTTACACAAGTACATATGCAAAACAGAGTTGCCAGGAGTCTTTTATTTTAAGGGGTGTCCCCTGTTTGAACGTTAGGGCCCTTCCACACAGCCATATAACTCAGAATAACAAGGCAGATAATCCACAATCTCTGCTTTGAACTGGAATATCTGAGTCCACACTACCATACATCCCAGTTCAAAGCAGATAATGTGGGATTTTATTCAGCTGTATGGAAGGGGCATTAGAAAGCTTTTCCTTTTAAACAAACTGAATGAGATATCTTGTATTTCGAAATGTAGGCTCTATATAAAAACTGAAACGTGTGCACTGTGTAATGAATGAATATGGATTATAATTATACTTATGCACAAATGCATGGCTAGGTTAACTTAAATAAATATCCCAGAACTTCCTGCAGAGAAGTGAAACTGTGGGAAATAGCAGATGCTCTATTTTGGAACGAATACTACTCCCTCTGCTCCTGACTCACCTACTCATAGGAGCCCCCGGTGGCGCAATGGGTCGGAAGTTTGGTCAGAAGTTTGAATCTGGGGGGAGTGTAGATGAGCTCCTTTTGTCAACTCCAGCTCCTCATGCAGGGACATGAGAGAAGCCTCCCACAAGGATGGTAAAACATCAAAACATCCGGGTGTCTCCTGGATAACGTCCTTGCAGACAGCCAATTCTCTCACACCAGAAGCGACTTGCAGTTTCTCAAGTTGCTCCCGACATGGGGAAAAAAAACTATAAATGGAGGAGAAAGTAACTGCACTTCCTCTGCTTTATCACCCTGGAGAAGATGAAACAGCATAAGCCTGGTCCTGTTGTGTGAATATACACACAGCAGCCTTTGGCTTTTGGAATTAGTAATGGTGGTTTTTCCATATTTCCCATACTTCCAGCCTAAGCCTGTTTTGTGAACAGCAGGTAAGTTAAATCACAGATATACAATCTATGGATAGGAGCATCTTACTGTATTTTAATTTGATATTTACGTAGAACACAAGCTCGCTAATGTACTGTCTGATTGTCAACCCTGCAAAGTCCTTTCGTGCTCTTTTGAAAAACTAGCAACATTAATGCTCACTTGTGTATGTAGTACAACAGACCCTCTTAAATCTAAAATAACGGCACAATAATTCATTGTGTATTGTTCTCTATTTACCCAAGTGGTATAAAGTTCCAAAGTATTGTCCTGCTTGATTATTTATTTCTAGAGCAATCTAATTGATTTAGCATTGTACATCAGCCAAATTAAGACAGAGGCCTTGGACTCAGATTTATAATACAAAAGATACTCATGAGAATGTGAATGTTGGCATCAGCAAGCAGACTGATCAGGCACATGTTGGAACCGTCAGCACCATCTTTACCTTTTTAATTTAATTTGCTTCATTTTCTATAGCTCATTGAGTTGGCTGCAGTCACCACCATTGTCAGAGTGAAAGCTAGAATATTGGTTGTAGTATTTATTCCTTATTATCTGGGTGCATGACAAGTAACACCTGCTGGAATTTCCTCCAGATATAGAGTAATAACCTTCCGTTTTTTCAATTTGCCAACTCTGTATTATATACAATGCCTCTTCTTTTCCCACTGTTACTGAGTAAAAGGGATGTCTAATAATTGGAAAGCACTGGGGTGTTCTGTGTTTTCTGGCCTCTATGGCAGTGTTCTAGCAGCATTTTCTCCTGATGATGTGCCTGCATCTGCGGCTAGCATCTTCAGAAGATTGGAAAGCATGCTTATTGGAGACCTGCTGCAAGAGAAAACAGGCAACTACGGCACTGGCTGGAACTGGAGGCTAGGGAAGGATTTAATGTGCCATAATTTCCAACAGATTTCCCAACTGCTGCTGAACAAGAAACAATTAGGGACCAACTGGGGCTAGGTAAGCCCTGCCTCTGTAGAATAATGACATCTCCTGCCATGTAAAAAGTGGCAGCCTACTTCCGAGAGCATATTTATAGAGAATCTGTTGCAAGGCTGGTAAACAGCACCTGAGACAGCTGGGATCATCCCCTGAGACTTTATACATACAACTGGCTAGGTAAGTTCTGTAAAGAAATGTCATCTACATTCTACTTTTGAGAAATGACAGTGCCAAGAGAAATAGGGCAACCTGCTTTTGCAGCAGTGATACACACTGGAGGTCCCTTTAAGTGATGGGACACTGCCAAAAAGGGGCCTTTCAGAAAGGAGGGTAGACCTATTTCCTCTTGGAGTAAATGAAGAAAAAGTAAGACATCTGAAATCTCTTGAGATATCATTTGTAGGTCTTGAGTTCTTCACAAGATGCTTGGTAGCCTTTTGGGCATAAGAGTGGCAATGCTGTTTTAAGTTTATTAAATTCAAAACTGTGTTGTTTGAACTGTCATCTTAACAGTTCCATGCTATGAAGTTTCCTTATAAAGTCTAGGCAATGTATTGTTATAAGCAGAAAACAGGTAGGCTGCAGGAATTGGTCACTACCAATTTCAGAAATTTATTTGGAAGCAGTATCTAATTTTTTTCTCCATGAATTATTTTTGACATGTTAATAGCAATAGGTAACATGAGATTTTCTCCTATTACATAGCACTTTTTTAGTTTTAACAGTTAAATAAGAAGTGGAGTTAGATTAGCCATGAGCAAACTTTCTAATTTGGGGGCCGCATGGTGAGCTGGAGTGGGGTGGAAAGGCCCGAAGGGAACGGGGTTCTCCTCAAGTCCCCTCCTTGCCCTTTCCTCCCCTTCCTCTTGTCTTTCAGAGACAGAAAGTGAAGGAAAGACAGGAAATGTTTGGATCCCAAAAAGGTTGGTCTTGGTCAGGAGAAGATGGTGGATGGGAGAGAAAAAGTGTACCCATGAGATCCCATATTGCCGACTCCTGATATAGAATCCTAGAGCTGGAAGACACCCTTAAGGGCCATCCAGTCCAATCCCCTACCGTGCAAGAAAGCACAATCAAAGCACTCCCAAGAAGATAGCCTCTGCGGAAAAGCCTCCAGAGAAGGAGACTCCACCACACTCCCAGGCAGCCTATACCACTCTCCAACAGCTCTTGCCCTCAGGAAGTCCTCCTTAATCTTTTCAGTCGAATCTCTTTTACTGCCATTTGAAACCATTTCTCCCTTGTCCCCCTCAATGGGACAACCATTTAAATCTCGAAACATAATTCTCATGTTCTCTCTCTACCTTCTCTTCTTCCAGTTAAACATTCCTCAGGTGGAAAGGAGGAAGGAAAAAGAGAAGGGAGAAAGAGAAGGAAGGAAGGGTGTAGGAAGGGAAGAATGACAAAAAGGAAGGAAGGAAGGAGAGAGGAAAGGGAAAAGAAGGAAGGACAAAAGGGTGAAAGGGAAGGAAGGAGGGGGGAGGTAAGGAAGGAAGGGAGGGAGGGAGGAAGGAAGGAAGGAAGGAAGGAGGAAGGAAAGATAGAAGAAAGGAAGGAGAGGATGGTGTGAGAGAGGAGGGCCTGAGAAAAGAGCCCAAGGGGCCACATCTGGCCCCCGGGCCTGGGTTTGCCCATACCTGAGTTCGATGCAAGTAAATACTTTTCAATGACAGTAACACATTTCTCTAAACATTTTATTATATATTTGAAGCTTTTAGAAGTCATTCAAAATATTCCTTTGACTTAAGATGTCATTTTAGTTTGGCTGTTTAGTTTCGTGTGCTGTGCAACCAAAACGTCATTACAAATTAAGCAAAGAGGTTTCTCCACATCATCATGATTATTGGAAGTAAATCCATATTGCAAAATGATTCAACACATGTTGTTGGTCTTGTCAATGTATTCCAATGGTAGTGATTTTAGGCTAATCACTACCAATTTCTTGCAAGCCTACTAATTTCTTGCAAGACAAACAAAAACATACTAATATTGTTTTTGTGACAAATGCCTGGAAAAAATGGCACACACTTAACAGCTTTTGCATAAATGTTATTAATCAACATTATTTTTGTGAATATAGCTACCAGCATAAATTGTGTGTTGTTTTTAGTAACTGGAACATAAAAAAGAACAACAGTGAATAGTGGAAACTTTCAATGGCTAAATGTCATTTTTTCCTGACAATCAAGATCTCCCCCGCCTTTTGCTGAGTTTTTTCCCCTTAACTGAATGTCCAAACTTCTCAGCTGCTTCAAAAATCCATGGTTGGGGAAAATCCATCTATGGCTTTTCACTGTTTGAATTGCTTCGGCCAAAGACAAATGATGATATATCATGAGATATGCCAGCACCAAAGAAGATGACCTGCTTATCCCAACAGCACAATGTACCAAGAGTTTAGCTGTAAATGAAAGAAAAAGATAAGGAAACTTTTGTGTAATATAAAAAAAATCTGAGAAAAAAAATTATTTGACAGTTGTTCTTTCTAAGCTTATTCCTTGATGTGCTAATACTGAATAACATTTATTCCCAATCAGGCCCGTAGCCAGGATTTCGTTTCGGGGGGGGGGGGGGGGGGGGTTGTTTCAGGGGGGGCTGAGTTTCGGGGGGGGGCTGAGTCTGAGTGAAAGAGGGTCTAGCCTAGCAAACCTTTTGTATCATTACCCCAATACCCCCATGCATATGGGATATATTGATTATGGTGATCAGATCATGATATGAATAAACATAACAGTTTAAATAATGCACCAGTAAGGCCTTTTCGCGAACCACCATCAGAATTTCGGGGGGGGGGGGCTGAAGCCCCCCAAGCCCCCCCCGGCTACATGCCTGCAATCATATCCAAGTTACACCTCCTACACTATACAGTATATACACATTTATAATATCCCAACACAGCCCTGAGATAAATCAGGAGCAAGAAATATTCTAGGGAAGTTAGTATTCAAAATTTCCAATATACATGTAAAAATGACATCACAATTGAAACATTTCCCCATAATTCCATTTGGAGTACATTTTCAGTCCTGAGAAACAATGCAGCTTTTTTTTTTTTTTTTTTGGAAGAGTAGGATTTTGTGGAAGAGGGAGAAGGGAATGAAAAAGGGCAAAATGCATGGTAATTATGTTTATGTATAATTTTTATAACAATAATAAAAAACATTAAAAAAAAGAGAAGGGTTCAATCTAGATAATAGGTGACCTAGTTTTGTACAGACTAGTGAATCTTAGGACTGTTATTCTCGAACAGCAAGGCTCCCTCCTCTGTGAAATAAATCAACCTGAGTGAAATATGAAAACGATTGTGATGTAACATGATGGGTTATGGTTTTGACAGGGATCTCCAGTATATTGTTTATGTTGATAGGAGGCACAGGAGAAATGTATCATGGCAAGTGTTACCAGATTGACAGCATCCCACAATCTGAGATTTCAAGACCAACATGTGAGACTGGGTAAGGGAGAGCTATTAGGTTATTATGGGGTGGGCTCAGAGTTACAGAGATGAGGAAGTATGCAGGAAGATGCACCAGTAGTTACAGAGGTGGGACACTAGTTCCACCAGTACTCACATCCCAAGGAACCTTAGCTACTGCATACAATACACTGTTACAGGTACTATATGCAAAGAAGAGGGAGGCAGAATAATAATAATAATAATAATAATAATAATAATAATAATAATGCATGTATTATCCACCTCTTCCTGTGGCTCAGGGCATGATACAATATAATTGAAACAAGAGATAAAACACTAGTAAAAGACATACAAGAAGACTTTGAATGCAATTTGAATGTAATTTTCCTGCTTCTTGGCAGGGGGTTGGACTGGATGGCCCATAAGGTCTCTTCCAACTCTATGATTATATGATTCTGTGATTCTAAGACACAGAGAGTTAAAATACAAGTTAAATTCCACTGGAAAAAAATGCAGATTATCATTCATAACTTAAAATTGACTAGATGAATACTTGTGGTAGGGAAAAGGAAGTGAGATGCAAGCATGGCCAGAAAGTTATGGGGGAAAGACTCAGAAGGGGAGAAACTTACCACCTTATCATAAAGATCAGGTGAAGCATTCTGCTTCCGGGGAGGAAAGAGGGAGCAGCGCAGCAAATCTGTTGCCCTGTGCGCAGATCTCACTCGCAATGATTTCCCCATCACATGGCGAAAGCATTGCCCTCGTGGAGAGGTCCCATGCTGACTCCATTGGAGCCAGCACAACACTGGAATCCTCCCATGTTGCTAGGGAAGCCCTGGTGACACGCTTACCCCGGTTGAAGGTGGAGCTATAGGTGATGTCATCTGATGGCTGCCATGGGGCTCCATTCCCAAAGAAGGCTCTAAGTGTCATAGGATGCTTATTTTGAGCCTTGTGATGAAGTCTGAGATTTCATGTCTTTCCGACTCATATGCAATAAACTGAAGATGGAGATACAGAACAAAGGCCACTTCATGATCTATGCAGCTCCATCATAGGCCACAGGTAGCCATCCTGTAAGTGTAAGTACTGCCAGTTCTCTTACATCCATACCATGATAGTATGATGGTTCATGTCAGGTTAAAACCAATATATCATAACATCATTCATGAGTCAAAGTTATTTCCTACCTCCTGGTGTAGCCAAGGCTTTGTGTATAAATTCTGCAGCTGGATAAAAGTATGGACTTATGTCAAAATCAGGCCGGTCGTGTGCTGGTACACCGTTGTATTCAATAGTATCACCATAAAACCCGTGGGATCCTTTGCAATATATGTTTCCGTGGGCTGCATTCAAGACATGACTAATGCCCATTTTCCATAAACCAAACTTGTCATGGGCTATAACACTAAAGAAAAAAATAGCAAATACAGAAAAGAAGGAAAGGCAAATGTATACCACTATGAATGAGAGAGTCAGCATGGTGTAACGGTCTGAATATTGGACTATGTTTCTGGAGATCAGGGTTTGAATTCCTGCTCTGTCATGAAAACCACTGGGTGGCCTTGGACAAGTCAGACTCTCCCAGTTCAGAGGATGACAAAGGCAAACTCCCTTTGAAGAGTTCTCGCCTAGAAAACATTGTAATTGTCTTGTCTTAGGGTCCCCATAAGTCACAAATGACTTGAAGGCAAAAGTATGACAGTCACCTTAAATGAGATTGCAACATTTTTTTTTTAAAAAAGTAATGTGTTCTAAAATTTGGAAATCTTTTATTGTGGACAAGTCCAGCCTGATTGAAAATTCCAAATTATGTTTCTGTACTTTCTGATATTATACAGACTCTCCTTCCACACAGCTGTAAAAAAATCCACATTGAACTAAATTATATGGTGCTGTGGACTCAGATAATTCATTTGAAAGCAGATATTGTGGAGTATCTGCCTTGATATTCTGGGTTATATGGCTGCAGGGCCTTGAGTTCAAATAAAGTGACCTAGAGATTCTGAGATTGTACTTGGAGCTGATGAAAAATATTCTGGGTTAAACCAAATGCATGTAGATCTCTAAATTAAAATCAGAAAGCATGGGAAAAAATTGGGGACTTTTTGCTATTTTTAATCTGTCTGGACGTGCCGGTAACAGTATAAACTAGAATACCATATTCTGGTTAGATTGTGAGCTGATCAATACCTAAAGTGGTTTGACTCGAGAATAGAGAGAATATAAGAATCTACAGCATATAGGAAAGCTTCTAAGCAAAACAGGTATTGCTCCAATAATAGAGCATAAGTAAACCCTTGAGTAATGTAGCAGGCCTGCTATGCAGGTTCTCATAGTGGAGCAAGCCTGCTGGGAATTCCCAAGATCATAAATTGAATGAAATTGAATAGATAATATTTGTAAAAATTTATTGACCTCACCAGACAGGGTGAAATCAGTGTCTTTGGGTGCTTTCACCCCGTCTGAGGGATGGAGACTGACACCGGACATCACAGGTCATCATGTGACTTCTGGCATAGGTTCGCTTCCAACCGGGGGTGAAAGCATCGCTGGACGCTTTCTCCCCAACAGTTGCCAAGATAGGGCCTCCCCATGAGGGTGACGCTTTCCCCATGTGATGGGGAAAGCATTGTGAGAGGGAGCTGTGTGCAGGATGACAGATTCGCCCTGCTGCTCCCTCTTTCCTATCTAGAAGCCAGGCAAAGTTGGATGCGTTTCCTGGACTTTCTAATAAGTTTGTATGTCAATTCAGTGATGCACAAACTTCACAAAGAAGGGGGGGGGATTTGTTTGTTGACCTGAGAATTTAGATTCCCAGTTGAAAGGGCTTTTTGTTCAGTGTCCTCTTGCACAGAAAGTATATGAACAGTTTTGCTCCAACAGCCTTGAATCAAATATATATGTCACTAACCTGCTATTTAATGTTCCATATCACCACATAGAAGTGTTTACTGAAATATAAGTTGATCATTTGTACTTAAGACACAACAAGCTTGATTTTTTTCCTAAATCCCATGTGACTCTGTCCCATATATCTGCCCTTAATATGTGCACTTGGGGCTTTCTCCTTCCTAATGTTTGGTAAACCTGCAGGAGTCCCAGGTTATAAAAGCACACACTGAATTTCAGCACATACTGAGTGGCATGGAACCCAGCGTCAGTAGGCCAGGATAGCATCTAAATAGCACAAATATTTGACAGAGGTTTGAAGGATTTATGGGAATGAAAGTTCATAATTAACACACTTGGCTTGATGTAAGTATTTTAGAACATGGATGTCACCCCAGACTATTGATAAGATACATCTATAGAATATTAGGGTACATTGCACCACGGCTTAAGCAGAAGAAAGAAACCAATTGTGTATATACTATTTTAAATGACATTCTATCCTTTATTCATAACTAATTTGTCAGCCAATCAGGCCACAGCATTAAGCACTCCTAGGATATAGTATTTCCTTGGCTGCAGTAAGTATGGTAAGCGAGTCCTTAATAGTTTTTAAGATATGTCACTCGAGGATTTTAAGGGATGCTAAGACTGCCACATCAACATTTACTTACAGATCTCCTAAGAAAAGATTAGGCCATACTTCATCAGCATGGTTACAGGAGGGCCTCCCAGTATTCAGGAGCTCTTCTAAGTCTTTAAGCGTGGGGGTCTCGGGTGTAGATTTTCCAGAGTCTTCAGGATCTTTGGAGAGTGATATACTCTCTTCCGCCATCATCATCAAAACAGCAACCCTCCCTCCTGAAACCTGAGAACGTGAGCCACTTTGGCTTGCTTTTGCTTCAGCCTTTCCAGTTGTCATTCTGGATCCAACAGTGATGACAGGAGCAGGGCATTAGCAAAGCTAGTAATCCGGTAAAATCCAAGATTGAAAAAGGGGTGCAATGAGTACCACTAAGACCCCATCTGCACTGACCATGTAATACATTTCAAAGTTAACTTCAAACTGTGGCAACCAGACAACAAACTCCCACAAAAACACATAAAAGAAAAGCTCTTGATGTGCTCAATACTCTGCAGTTTATGTAATCAACGTCCTGGCTTCAAGCTGTTTCCAGGATTTTCTATGCAGAGCACAATCACTGTCAATAATACCAGTTTGAAACTGCAGTAAAGTGTCTGTGTACGAGGGCTGAATGAAAAGTAATGTCTCCACCTTTGTTACTTGGTTTGGACGGGAATATTTTAATAAATCAAACACAGAAATAATCCTTAGAATATGCTCTGTAACTACCACTATTAACTTTTCCACATAATCACCAGACAATTGGATACATTTCTGCCAACAATGAACAAGTTTTCTGAAGCTGTCACGGAAGAAGTTGACACTCTGTTTCCGCAACCAGCATCTCACAGTTCTCTCAACGTCTTCATCAGAAGCATAATGATGTCCCCGCAGATTTTTTTTCCATTATGGGGAAAAGATGGAAGTCAGATGGTGCTAAATCTGGACTGTTTGAAGGATATCATACGGTGGTGAGATCCAGCCTCTGAAGTTTCAAGTCTGTGCACTTTCATTTCATGCATCAGCATCCTGGGTACCCACTGTGTACAGATCTTCCAATAGCCAAGCAAAGCAATAATGTGACCCACACATTTTTATGAAATGCCTATTATGCTTGAAATTTCTCTCTGAGTGATACAACACTCGTCCTGAATTAATCTGTCAACCTTTTGTTTGTGAAACCCGGTGGTTGCTGTCACAGGACATCCAACTCTTTGTCACGCAAGTCAAATGTTCCCACCTCAGCGTCTTTAAACTTACTCGCCCAACGACGCACAATACTCACATCAACACAATTACCGTAAACAGCTTCCATTCTCTGATGAATCTCCTTTGGGGTGACACCTTCTGCTGTCAAGAATTCAATGACTGCACGTTGCTTAAGTCGCATTGACCAACCGTCTGCGCAGGGTTCCATATTTTGCACTTTAACAACACAACCATTCAATCCTAAGACTTCCCGTCAAAATGGAACTGTAGAGGAAAGTCTACTGAACAAGCCAGTACCTGCTGTGTACCAGTACTGCCATCTGTTGTGGCGTTACAAAGGTGGAGGCATTACTTTTCATTCAACCCTCGTATATATAGCTCCTAAAAGTCCAAGGTGCTAAAAAGTCCCCCCCTTCGATTTCTACACACTTCTGACACAGTTTACAGATGGAGTCCCACAGAGCCTATACGACGCAAAACTATTTCTACCTGGCGCCCATAGGGCTCCGTCTGTAAACTGTGTCAGAAGTGTACAGAAATTGACTTATATGGAATCAGGGATCAATCAAGTTTAAAGTCCCAAATTCCCACTTAGCTGTTGCTTTTTTCTCTCCTTCCTTAAAACCTTGGATTTCCAAATTTTGATATAGCACACTAATGATTATATTTCTCTTTTATATTTCAAATAACTCAAAATACTGGTGACCGTCTTATAGAAATCCCTAGAAAAAGTTTTTTAAGTACATTGTTCTGCTTTAATTTTTAGAATATCAGATTGCTGAGAAATAACAGAATTATAAGTTTAATAGTATAATAATTAATTATAATGGCAACAAAATAATTTAAATATTATATTGATATATGTAAACACAAGTAGAGGAATACATTATTTGTGAGATTTCAGGCTTCTACAATTGCAAAGTTTCAACTTTTAAAAAATTAAAAATGCAGAATAGGTGGAGACAACACTTGTCCATATGATAGCTCAGAATACAGATGATTTCGTTAAAATAGTCACAACAACATCACATATGATGGGGTTGAAAATATCCATTTTCATTTTACACACACTGGAATGAAACATTATGGTAAGAAGATGATTCCCCCCGCTTCCCTCCCCACTCATGGGATGGGGTCCCAAATCTACTACATGGCAAATCATTATTGAAGAAATGTGTTTGGGGGCTAGAACTCCCATTTCTCTTGCAGTTAAACTCTCTTGATTTCATTGACACTGTTATGCAACAAGACATGGTATAGAAGGCATCTTTGCTCCTATAAGGTCACAATATGTACAGCGAAAAAAAGCTTTCTTCTGTACATGCATTGCATCAATGGATTCACATCCAGCTGAGCTGTTCAGAATGGTGAAAGGTTTAAAAGGTTTAACTCATGTACTCTCCCCTCTTAACCCATTATTAGAACCTTCAGTAGCTCACTGTGATGCCTTTAACAACCATTTCACAGATGAAATCTCTCACATAAGAGTCGACTGAGATGCTGTCAGGTTCGCCTTCTCCTGCACAATCCACCCTTTAGGATGGTGAGGTCCTCTGGTGGGCAGCTACTCCAACCAGCCAGAACCTGACTGGCTACTGTCACTCAGAGGACGATTTCATTGCCCACCCCAAGACTATGGAATGACCTGTTGGAAGAGCTCTGACAGCTGAACGAGGTGTCAGAATTTAAAAATGCAATTGAAGACTGGTCTCTTCTGGTATGCCTTCCCAGCCAACTTTCAATTGTGGGGTTTTTATTTCCATTCTCTTGCCACTATGGACCTCATCACAAACATCTATGGGTTCGCCACACATCATGGGGAATGCATGGAGTCCTGGTGGGGGGTTTGGAGAACCTGTCACTCCATGCCTCTCGTTGCATCACTTACCAAGGACCTCATCACATGGGGGGAAGCGTTGCCACCTGGCTTCCCCTCATTGTCCTGAAGGCAACACAGGCAGCTACGGTGGTGACATATGCCACTTCCTATATCTGTGTCTATATCTGTGTTTGGTATAAGTTTTCATATGTGTACTTGCCTCAAGACATCAGGAGAGGTGGATAATAAATAAATAAAATTATTATTAGTATTATTATTATTTGAAACACAACAAGATGAGTCCACAGTAGACAAGATCACTCTGCTGGCTGTTGTCTTGGATCACATGTCGGACACTTTCCAAGTGTCTAGGACTGTGTGATGTATCGGCAAATAATCCTACTAAGGTGGCCTTCTGCAGCTGGCAGCTGGCATCATCATCATCATCATCATCATCATCATCATCATCATTATTATTATTATTATTATTATTATTATGTGCTTGTGTTTGTCCACAAAAAGATCTAGAATACAAAATCTTACTGTCTAAGATAACTGAGTCCTGATGTATTTTGATGGCAGCAGTCAGGCCAGCAAATGGATTGTGATGTCACTGGTTACCCACATTGTCCTGAGTGGCCTATTCATTTGAGACAGAAAGAGCTGCAAACACAGCCCTGGCCCATGTTGTGTTGCTTATTAGCCAATGGACTTCAGCCTTCAAGGTAAAATGCACGACTATTACTTCAGATTTGGGAGCAGGGTGATGGAAAACAATTTCAGAAAGGAGCAGGAATTTGGCAGGCTCTTGGTTCATTCTTGGATACATTCAAGGTTAGTGGAATAAAAAGCAATGTGTGCTAAGACTTTGCATTGCTACTGTGTTTAAGATTGCAGGATTATTTTAACTATATTATTTGTATAAATCATTCCCATTTATATACATTTATTTTTAAATGGTGGGTGTTTGAAGACTTGCTTAATATATATGCTAAGTAAAAAGGACCATCTATGACATTTGTTTAGTGTGTCATACCAGGAATTTAACTTCACTGGCACAGCATTCTGAAGTAAAATGGATAACTATCCCATGCTACTGTCTCTGAATATATCAGCCAAATTTAATTCTGTGTAGTTCTTTCAGTGTCTTTGGCTGTGATATGGTAGTAGTGTTGGAAATAGCAACCTTCCAAGCCTTCACTCTTTGTTTGTTAAAATACATATTTGCTAACCTGTATTGTATGTATATATTGATTGGCCAGTTTGACCACTTTTGGTGTGGGAGGGGCTACAGACATGTGATTGTACTGAACATGTTGAGACTCAGTATGCTTTTCAGCTTTAATGGAAAAGTATGTTTTTGGACTTATGCCGGAATAGTTGACTATATGTTTGCTTTGAGAAGCACAGAGTGCAATTATACAGTTTGGACTTTCATAAGATATATACTTAAAGGCAGGGCTGTTGCAAAGGGGGGTGGGGGTGGGGGTGGGTTAGGGGTTCAACCCCCCACCCCAAATTTTCAGGTTAAAAAACCTGGTTTACTCATGAATTTTAACTGGTTAGCCAAATCCCCGTGCCAAGTCTATGAGAAGCAAAAATTAAATTGATGAAAGTAAATCTATATAAATTATATAATGAACCATACTATATAAATTATTTTGTGTTATGGAACTACTCTTCATGATTCACCAAAAAAAAAAAAAAATTCAACCCCCCACCCCCACCCCGGGAAATATTTTCTGTCTATAATGCTGCTTAAAGACTTTGGACTGGACTATTGATTAAGAATGCTGCCCTGTGTTCTCAACACAGAGAAACCACATTCTATTTATAACTGAACTTTAATAAGAAATGTGCCTGTATGGTGTATTAATACAATATGTTTGTGAGTAAACAAGGCATGATATTTTTCAAAGAAGATTTGGTTTTTTTAATCTCTGAGTACATATTTTAAACTAAAAGGTTTCAAGGGGGAATATATGTTTTGGGCAACTGCAACTTCAGCTTCGAAGAAACATTTTAAAACTCTGCTAGCCAAATATATTTTTATGCAGTGGCATGTGTTTGCCCCTGACAGTTCAAAGACATGGTTCTTCAGTTTAACCACTTAGTTACCTGTGTGACATTACATGAATGCTTGTGAACATAACTTGGACAAAAGGTTGACTTCTAACACAGTAATCTTTTTCCAAAAAGTAGTAACTTCACATTCAAAGGAAATTTATCTATGAAGCTGTTAGATATGCCAACCAGTGGGAGACAGCTG